GTTTTTCCACCTCCTGCTTCTTGCTTTCTGTGGTTGTCTTCCTCAGCTGTCAGTAAGTTATTTGCTAAGAGCTAGAAAAGGTGATGGTTACTGCACGTACTCTAATATGAACACGTAAAGCCCTCCTTTGTTGATGACTTAAAAAGCTGCGGTTCCTTGCTTATTGTTTGGCTATCTGCCTGTAGCATGGGTCACCCTCAGTCTTTCCCCTCCATCTTTTCCTCCTACCATCCACACACTTCTCCCTTATGCTATTGGTATCTTGCCATAACTTAGCCATGAAGCTCTTTTTTTGTAAGACCTAGCTCAGTCCAGCTATTGTAATAGAAATACTATTCTTACTTATATGCTGGTATTTAGATGTTCTGAGACAATCAGTTTGGTGCAGTATATTATAACTCCCCTGTTAGCCAACATTTGGTACTGGTATGGTTAGCCACCACAACATCTGCATGGATACGCTCATTTTGGTTTCATTTTTTGTTCACTCTTGTTCACCACCATCTGGGAGATGGAGGACAGTTTGCACTGCTCATCTAGCATTTGGTGCTCGCTCAGTTTTTCACTTCTCTACCATGAGCAGTTTCTAAAGCCAATATCTTGTTTCTTTATGGGCTGAGAAATCCATGGGGATTTGTGTTACTCTGTTCCCAGTCATTTTGAGCCATAAAGAGAAGTCTCATCCATTCCTCTTTAAGATCACTGCATGCACTGAGTTTTTATGTTCCCCCTTCCATCTTCTGTTGCATACATTCATTTCTTCTGCTTGCAAAACACTACCTGACGTGTGTCTACCTATTCTCCCCTCCCTTCAGCTAAAATGAAAGCAGGATACTCATTCTCTGAGTGAATGTCATTTTTAGGAGCACTCACTCTGGGAATGTTATCTGCCATATGAAACGGAGATTCAGAGGAGTTCTGTCTGGGGGAGACTGGTTGAGGCAGGTGGCATAGATAACAGTACCTTGCAGCACAGTGTTCAGAGGCCAGCTGGGAGACCAAGGTTGGTAAGATGGTTTGTACTCAATTTGTTCCCCTTTTTAATATTTTTTACCAGTAACTCAACTTTTATTTTAATGTCTTTTACCATTAGTATCATATCAGTTTGTTCTGATTTCAAAGTCTGCAGGAAAGTGGGAGAAGAACAGCTGAAGCTGTAAGATTTTCATGTTGCTTCTTAGATTTGCCGACAGTTTTCGTTAAAAACAGTTGCTATTTAAGATTATGGATGCTGCTCTCTCCAAAATGCAGCTGAGTAATGCAACCTTCTCCTCCCTCCCCAAACTCTAGAGCTAGACTGCAGAGTCACTTTTTGTTTCCAGGTTTTGAAGCTACCCCTTCTTCTCAGCTGCAAAACATTTTCTTTCTGTAATGCACAGGCTGTTTGTTCACTTCATTGCAGTGACCTGGTATCTGTGAAGGTGTTTGCTTTTGCACACAGGCAGCTCCTTAGCACGTAGGTACGTTGTACAGTCATTTCTAAAGTTTACCTGTCTGGGCACTGAATTCAGGCATGAGAGCCTGGACAGTAAAGTATATGTTGAGATTCTGCACCAAAACCACAGGCTTATCAGTGTGATGGCAAATGGTCTGAAACCCTCACACTCAACAGGAGGGAAAAAAGTGGGTCACAGAACAAAGTACACAGAGTATGGGTTTGTAATGTAACCGTGTTGTTGGAAAAAGCTGTATGAGTGCTGCAGTGCAAGACTGGGAGGACATGGTCCTGTGAACATTTCTGCATGTACTAATGTTATATGTACGTAACCTCACTGCAGCTAATGGGGATATTAAAAGTAAAGCATATGCCTACACTCTTGCAGCCCACGTGTTGCTTCCCCCTGCAGTTGACGTAGTGCCATGAGTTGGCTGTGTTACTAGAGCTTACTGGAAAAAGAGATGTAAGTCCTAAGAAGAGCAACAAAAACAATTAGGGAGCTGGAGACTGAGTGAGGGGAAAGGTTGGATCCTTGGTGATAAAGTGAGAACTGTGACACTTTGCAAACTGTACAGAGAAGAGAAGGGAGAGGGATTCTAGAGAGGTGGTACCATGGGAATTGGCAGAGGGAAGAGGAAATTATGAGTAACAAGTGAAATAAAGACCCAAATATTTCAAGGCTGATTTGCCACTGATAGCAGTTAGCCTGGGGAGCTGATATTTTCTTATAATTTGCGACATTTTTGTTCTGTTTCCTGTCAGTTTCTGACAGTCCTAAAGGGCATTGCTTCTGCCTAGAAATGGACAAAATCATCCGCAGTTTGCAGTAAGAACAAGCATGTGCTGGCCTTTATTGGAGGGGCTGGCAGGAGCCCCCAGAGCATTTCCAGCTCTTCTGTCTGAAATATTTTCAAAGCGCCTATAAAATATTGGAGCCTTGAATTTCTTTCAGAAAGAATTTCTACATGATTGATTGGATTTTGCTAATACAGAGTAGAGGTAGCACTCTGTAAGGGGTTTGGGAATGTCTCCGTGAAATTCAATGGCAATGAGATAAATCCAGCACTGGCAAATCCAGGGCTCTTTGGGAACCTGCAAAATGGAAGGGGCATCACTGATCTGGGCCCTAAGTTCACAGTTTTCTCTAGTGCAAAAAGAGATCAACAAAAGCAAAAGGGAACCAGGAAGAGGAGACCCCAGAAATAGCTGCCAAAATGAGCACCAAGTGAAGAAATTCTGTTTGCTGCAAACACCTTCCACATTTCTGCTGTCAAAAGAGGATAAGGATCTGACCTTCTCCTGCTACAGGGAATGCTGCTCTGTGGGCAAGGGCAGCTCTGTTCCCAGGTAGTTCTTCATTTAGTTGTGTTTACTGAGCAACATTCAGTCTCCTGCCGAAAAGGATAAAATAGCTCAGGAGACATTAGACTGTTTCTCATTCTCATGTTCATTTGCCTGGACCTAACATGGTACCTCTTCACAGCGCTTGATTCCTACCCTTGGACCACTCTTACCACTCTGTTCCCTCCTTGGTATTTGTTGCTTATGTACAGGGACTTTCTCCCACATTACCACTGAGCAGGTTTTACCAGCTGCCTCCACAGGTCAGTCTGTCTGTCCATGGAGATGCTTTTAGCTACAAGTTTTACCAAGAGCTGGGAGCCCCTACAGGGAAGAGCTAGCGGGTTAGCAGCTTCTTCTGTGTATTGTCCCTACAAGCAGAGGGGGGACAGATCTGCCCCAAATGCCCAGTGATGCACTTGCATGTGTCTCCTCCATCTAAGGGACAGCCTGGGGGCCTGTTGCTGCAATTTCCCTTTAAATGTCTTTGGGAAGTTTGCTGTAGTCGGAGAGCTGCTCTGCAGGCACCTGCTCCTTGGGCGGCTGGGGAGTTAGAAGGCACAGCTCTGCTGAGGCCAGCCAAGCTGTCACTGCCTTTCACTGTGGCCAGGCTCTCGCGGCAGCCCCTGTCCCGCTCAGCCTTCCACCAGGCAGCCAATTAGCGAGAAATCCCACTGTGTGGCCAGCTCCGAACGGCCACCGCGCCAAGGCCTGGGCTGACCCGTGTCCTGCCGCAGCTGGGCGAGGGCTGCCTCCCGTCCTGCTGGCCGGCAAGCCGGCGGGATGCGCAGAGGATGT